AAAAACTAATAGCGGAAAAAAGGACAGCCAGATCAAGATGGCAACGAACCCACACACCAGCTGATAAATGGGCTTACAACCACACAAGTCATAAATTAAAAAACAAGCTCAAAAAAGTCAGGAGCGAAGAATTTGAGCAATACATAACGAAACTAAGTAGAACAGACAATTCGATATGGAAACCAATCAAGAACTCAAAAAAACCTAAAACTCCAACACCACCAATAAGAAAAATACCAGTGAACCATGGGCAAAAAGTGACGCTGAGAAAGCTAAACATTTTGCAGAACACTTGGCTTCCGTATTCCAACCAACAGATACAGTAATCGACCAAGAAATAGAAAAAAGTCTATTAAACCCATCTATAACACATACAACCATCAAAGCATTCACACAAAAAGAAATAAATGATGAAATTAAGCTCCTAAATCCAAAAAAGTCGCCTGGATTTGATCTGGTAACGGCCAAAATGATGAAAGAATTGCCTAGAAAAGGGACAGTGATGCTAACCTAAATATACAACGCTATTCTACGACTAGGATACTGGCCAAGATGTCTCAAAAAGGCACAAATCATCATGATCGGTAAACCTGGAAAAGACCCGACAGATGTCTCCTCGTACAGACCCATCAGTTTACTTCCAGTAACGTCAAAACTACTTGAAAGACTGTTACTTCGCAGAATAAACGCAGATTTGCCTCCAAAAAACTGAATACCTGACCACCAGTTTGGGTTTCGCCAGAAACACTCCACCGTGCAACAAGTTCACAAGCCAATACAAGCCATAAACAAAACGTTCGAATCCAAGCAATACTGCAGTGGAGTATTCCTCGACATCAGACAGACTTTCAAGGTCTGGCACCGTGGACTTATCTACAAAATCAAACATGTATTTCCACCGGCTTACTTCAATCTTCTAAATCATACTTGAGTAGGAGAACCTTTCAAACCAAAGTAAATGAAGAGAAATCTGACTACTTTCCTATCGGTGCAGGAGTACCACAAGGCAGCNAATATGCCCAGCAGTCACAAGAAACAACATACAGGTACCGCAAAAGCAAACAGTAAAATATCTAGGCCTACACTTGGATGCTAAACTGTCATGGAAACATCATCTCGCAAAAAAGAAACAACAAATAAACATCAAGACAATGGAGCTACAGTGGTTACTGGGAAGAAATTCACGACTATCTACAGACAACAAACTTCTAATATATAAAACAATTATCAAACCAATCTGGACATATGGACTAGAATTATGGGGCTGATCAACCAAATCAAATGTTGCAATCACACAAAGATCTCAATCCAAGATACTCTGTCAAATTGTTAATACTCCCTGGTACGTAACAAATCATACACTACATACAGATGTACAGGTACCAACCGTACAGGAAGCAATACGCAAGAAAGCCACCACACATCATAACTCCATAGAAAACCACCCCAATCAGCTCATGGAACAACTCTTGGAACCAGTAAGCAACAACAGACTCAAAAAAACTGTGGCCAAGTGAACTACTCTTAAGTTAATGTATAGATACTAATTATAGATTATAGAGGTGATTTCGCTGGATATCAACCTGCTCATGCCACTAGTAATTAGTATATCTAATGAGTAATCAGCACTTTAGATTACAGAATTATGTAATATTCTGATTGCTACAATTTAAATAAATAAAAAAATTGATCTAATTCTTTCAGCCGCACTATGGCCCTGGGGTCGACTCAGCCTCTAACATAAATGAGTGCCAGGAATATTCTTGGGCGTAAAAGGCGGCCGTCGCGTAAGGCTCACAACCTTGTCGCCATCTATGAGCCGAATGCCTATAAAATGTCGGAACCTCAACATCTGACAACCCTATGGGCCTTCACTGTCTGTTACAGGGATACCTGTACTTTTTTACATAATTGCACTTGCAGTATAGCGTGAGGATTTTCATCGCTCCATATTCTTACATTTTGTGCATTAACATGACCACTAACGTGAAACCACGCTTCATCAGTCATGAACAGAAGCTGTAGATCAACGATTCCGTCATGCACATTTTGCAGCAACCAGCTGCAAAAACGGATTCTTGTTGCATAATCTGGTTGTTTTAGCTCATACACAACTGTTATTTTATACGGGCAAAATTTGATTAATTTTGTCGCTGTGAAAGCATATCCCAGTGAAACACCAGTTTTCTGTACCAAGCGTCTTTAACAATTTTCGAGGAATGATCTGCAGACGTGCCCCAATATCCCGAACCTTTTCTTCAGTCAGCACAATCCTCTTCCATTGCTTCTTTATGTCACACACTGAACCTGTGGCCCGCCACTTTTTCAGAAGCTTTGATACACATGACTTTGTGGGAACTGGAGAGTCAGGATATTTACAACGAAACTTATGGATACATTTTATTTTTTTCTCTTGCAAAAGTTTGGACAACATGCTGTTCAATAGTTAACTTCATTTCAGTATAAATGTCGACCGCCTATCGACACCTTTAACGCAGACTATTTTGTGACTTACTGCAGTGACAAGATCAGTGCACCTGACGGCGCACGTTTATCAGCGCTAATGAACTTAGCGAATAAAAATATCAATGACTGTCAAAGAAGTAAACGAACATATAATCAGATAGAACTTTTCGTTTAAATTTGATTTTGTTTTCACTCTACAAGCCTTTAAACATTACAGACACAGAACACTTCATTAGTGAAATTAGTCAAATCACGATTTTCAGTTGTATGTGTGCGCACTCCCATAACAGCTCATGTACCCCGGCGTCCTCAACAACGTCAACAACAGTTGAGTCGGCGAGCAGTTGAGGTAGAACTTAACTGGTTAGCGACTGTTGGGACAACTATCGTGATGTGTGCGCATTCCCATTAAACGTAGTGGTTCTCGCTGACGTGCACAACTATCGGCCATCAATCGCTCAACTTAAAATTGCATGCTCTTGCATGTGTGCGCTAGGCCTTACTTGGACAAAAATCGCAGTTCACAAAGTGTCCCACACATGCATGGTTGCCGCATGTAGTAATCATTTTGCAGCGCGGTGATCGGTGGGGTTGGTAGCAGTGGACAGTAACGGATGAGGTGAATGGGCATCAAATATCAGTGGTCGCAGCGGTCATTTTGCATTGAATTGTAATTTCCTGTAGACATTCCATTGTAATAGGATCCTTTTTATAATCATTTTCCTACATGGGAAACTGGCATGAGTGTTGCGGGTGGTGTTACTCGTTGTTACGCACTGTAACGATTTTTACCTCGTGGTCTTGTTTTGAGAAACGAACCAACGTAGGTTGAAGTATCACATTTGGCAGCATTAGTCCTTCCCACAGCATTGGAGAATCTGCTTACCCTCGTTACCGGTCTTAGTCCATCCTCCTTACATCAAAATTACACATTGGGAATTGCGACGTGGAGGGATCGACGGATTGACAGTCCACGATCTTTAATTATCCACATTTAAAAAAAGTTGCTTGGTATCCTAATACAACACCGTGTGTCGTGATGTAATCCATGTACAAAATCCGCTGTGGCATGGTAAATATATAACCATGCTCATTGCGTGTAATTTTTCGTTGTTTATTGGCTGTGATGTTGAGGTGCCAGCATCAGTTGATAAATTGTGGTGCAGAGATTTTTCCGAGTTCGGTTATCTCATTTACCTCATGGGTGTAAGGTCGGGAGAACAAAACGTATTAGTTGAACGAGAGACAGTGGATATCCGATTATGAGGCGTTCGGGCTGATTGTGGTTAGTGTTAACGACTGTAAATTCTTTAACCCCTTGTTACTTATGCAAGGAGCAGTTTATAATTGTTGCAGGACAAAATGGAAAGAAACAGAGAATATTGCAAAGGTAACCATGTTCCTCCAATTTAAGAAACCAGAATTAAAAGTTGGTTTGAACATAGGTATAAGAATAAATGCAAAATAATAATGCTTAATATTTGAAGATAAATGTTACTGTTTGTGTATAGTTCCAGAAGAAGAGCTGACTGCAGCTGAGCAGGAATTGAATGAAGTCGAGGCCCAGCTGTTAAATCTCAGTGACAGAAAACGACAACTTCTAGATCGAATAGGACAGCTGAAAGATGAAATTTTACTGAAAAAGAACCATCTGCTCACCAGCCGTGATTGGTCAAGTACTGGTATGCCTGTTATATTGAATAATTGAGCAGTATTATAATGTGATACCACAACTTTAGTTACTTTACATTAGGCGATTTTGCTCACTAGAAATTTGCCAGCCAGTGAGCTGGAGGGTAACAAGTAGTGTGTTACAGTGAAACAATCAAACCAGTATTACAATCACTGGCTAGAAACTTTGCACCTTATTGGCTAGCAGGTACATATGTTAACAGCCGTTTTACTTGATGGCTAGTGAAAGTTTTTAACTTCACCTTCCCATTTCTTAGCAGGGAAGCTAATCAGTTTGTTTGCTTGTTCATCTTATGGCAGGTTAGTTCCATAGCTGACAGTAAACTCACTGGCAGCGAGTGAGTAAAGTAACCTAGTGTAAATAAATCCTAAAGGGTTCTGATGATGGTGTATAACACTTGGAATTACTGGGTGTTTGGACTTCGTTCATCATCTGGTATTCTAGTGTAGTCCAATTCACACTTTACATACATGACATCTTGTCAACATAATTTTTCAAATATTGTGTCTGAGCATCCTGTTTGCATTAATTGATCACTCTGTATGTTCATTGTACCTTGCCAGTGTGCATTTTTAAAGAGTCCATTCTTAGCATTGTATAAGTGGCCACATTGTCATATTCAGAGGAAGTAACATATATATATTAATATATTTTTAACTGTGTGATACTGTAAATATAACCCTTGCACCCCTCTGATTGTAATAAATTAGCATGTGTTCTAGAACTATGGGTACAGTAGTTTCTGAGTTTTTATTTACTGAAATTTTAAGAAGATTTGTTTTATGGTGAGACTTATTTTTAGAAATTTTTCTTGTGGAACAGAATTTATTTTCAGTTTTATCATATATTAATTGTTATATTAAAATGTATGTATCCAAATGTTCAACCATGCTTGAATGCATAATTTTCAGATTTCCCATGGTCTAAGAAGGTGAAAGAAGTACTAAATTTGGTCTTCAAATTGAATGAATTTCGCCCGCTACAGCATGAAACAATTAATGCAGCTATGTCCAATGAAGATGTTATTCTCATAATGCCTACAGGAGGTGGAAAAAGTCTGTGCTATCAACTTCCAGCTCTTCTTAAATGTGGTAATATGAAAGTTGCCTGAAAGAACATAGTGTATTTACATGTACATCTTTGTATAAATATGACTTATTTCCATGTTAAAAAATTTAAATAAATTGTCTCATTATGTCAGTATGATGGTTAGAGTAGGCATCCCATTTTTAGAGGTATATGCTTGCTTCTTGTTACTTTGTGATGGCTTCTTGCCTACATAGTAGAAGAGAAGATTCTGAAAGTATGAGTAGTAGCCTGAAGTACTGGTAGTAGAAGCAGAGACAGTGAAAGCATTGCATGCTGGGAAATACTAATCACTGAACATATACTGTGAGGTTTACTGATGTCATGCAGGATTTTAATTGTTACACTGTGTGACTTGTGACTGACAATTTGTTATGGTGTGCATAATTTTACCTTCTAGCTTACACAGTATTTATAGAATGAGGGTGTATGAGAACAGGGTGTTGAGGAGAATCTTTGGACTGAAGAGAGATGAAGTGACAGGAGGTTGGAGAGGACTTCGTAATGAGGAGCTTCATAACTTGTACTCTTCTCTAAGTATAATTAGAATGATCAAGTCAAGGAGGAGAAGATGGGCAGGGCATGTAGCATGAACAAGGGAGAAGAGGAATGGATATAGAATATTTGTTGAAAACCAGAAAGAAAGAAAGAAAGAAAGAAAGAAACCACTAGGAAGACTAAGATGTAGGTGGGTGGATAGTACGTATTAAAATGAATCTTAGGATGGGATGGTATGGACTGGATTGATCTGGCTCAGGATAGTGACCAGTGGAGGGTTCTTGTGAACATGGTGATGAACCTCCGGGTTCCATAAAATGCTGGGAAGTTCTTGAGTAGCTGTACAATTGGCAGTTTCTCAAGAAGGGCTCAGCACCATGAGTGAGTGAGTGAGTGAGTGAGTGAGTGAGTGAGTGAGTGAGTGAGTGAGTGATTTATGAATTTATAAACTTTAGGGCTAGTGATGGTCTTTTGTAACTTAAGGAGTTATTTTTGTTTCTTGGTTATATGTTTTAAGATATGGGATTTTCAATGTTTACCAGGACCTCAAAATTAACCTCTGATTGTGCCTGAAGGCAGTTCTTAGGATTTTAGACAATACAGTTGACCAAGACTATTTCTTTAATGACCTTATTACTGTTCTGTAGTGCAGTCATCGAATGGTTTGTTAGCGGATATCAGTGTAAAATTTAATGAATGCTTAATACAGATCCATTCTGTCCTCAATAGGTGTCGCTTTGGTGGTATCCCCCTTGGTATCATTGATGGAGGATCAGCTGATGGCACTCAAAGCACTTGATGTGCCTGCAGCCATGCTTACTGCTACAAGCACAAAAGAAGAAGTTAAATCTATACAAGATGTAAGCAATACCTATTAATTTCAAAATGGGATAAACTTGGTTGTAATCTGAACCGTACTAATATCACTTAACTCTCTGGTGATGGAAAATGAAGTTTCTGTACAACTAATACAGAAGCCCAACATTGCACACATTCTTGGGTCATTCTCATCATCACAGCCTACTGGGGGTTCCTCATGATCCTTCCTAATTTGATCTTCTCATCATGAGTGTTACACATCACTGCTTTTCCAGGGAGTACTCATCCAACAGTTATGAATATCTCTCTTCTGTACTCTCATCCAAGTCATGTGTTGAACCCATTTCAATCTCTTGATTTCCCTCTTTACTTTTAAGTCATGAAGTGTCTCCTTATATGTTCAGAATTCTTCAGTGATTTGTCCCACTTATTCCTGAGCATTTTGTTTCAGATACTAATAATTCATGTTCTTCTGCCAATTACAATGTAATATCAGCAGCCAGACCCCCAAACAACAGTACTACGCTCAACTCTCGATTATCCGGGATAATGGTGGGGATTGAAATCACGATTAATCAAAAACCTGGTTAAGACAGATTTTATTAAAAGTAGTACTGTAATACTGTACCTTCATAATACTATAGGTCTACCTGTATTTAAATTTATTCAACCTCATTTTTATGTCATCTCATGGCCTATTTAACCTTTATCAGACTAATGTCACCATATGGCGTCATTTAAAGTACAGCTGAGTGGCCGTGCGTCACCATATGGGTACCCGCAATCCACGCGTGCGCATAGTGTTTTAAAATCTTATTTTAACGTAGAAATTCTTGTTCTACTTACACTATTTTTGGACACCAGCTTTATAAGTAGACTGTCTTCCCTCCTGCATCATCTAACTGAATGTTGCATGTCACTGAATGCAGAGTCCAACGTTGCAATTCATGCACTTTGTCCGTAATTAACTCTTGTTTTCCACGCGAAGCGCGCACACGCAATGTTAGTCTCGTATTAGCAGGAAGTAAGCCAGTGATGGCGAGTGGTGTCCTCTATTCATAACGCTTATAAAACATCGCAATTTCAACTATGCACCATGGTCCCTTTTCGCATTGAAGAATTCGAAATAGAGAAGCCGCGCGTAAATCACACCATTCAGAATGCGTTACAGTTTATTCTGAAGGGATGTGGACGCAAGTGGAATGAGGTGATATTCCAAGAACTGCCTCTGTCTGGATAGTCTGACATACGTGAATAAACAAACAGAGTTTCATACGGTCAATGTAGGATAAGAACTTGCCCACACTCGGGTATACAGGAAGCCTATGTGACCGGAGAATGTGCAGTACATAAACATCAAACATCCTCTCGTATTGCCAGATAAAAAACACAGACAGTGCGTCAGCACCATGCATTTATACTGCAGAAACTTTATGCATTTTTGTGGACAGACACTCAAAATTGGGGAATTTTTTTTTGGAATCAATGTAACAATTTTTACATATTCTAAAATCGGTAAATTACAGTATCTGATTCTATATACTTTCTAGATAAAAGTAGCGTTTATTTCGTTCGTTTATCACAAAAATTGTAGAAATAACAGCATTTTGAGTACCATGATTACAATTTTTATTACTCTACAATGACGGGCATTTAAATTAAATCCGTCCCGCGGCCACTACCGGAATTTAAATGGCCGTCCGATAAAGGTTAATACTTTTTTTACATTACACTGAAGTATGAATTAGTTATTTCAATCACAGTGTTCAACAACATCGAACACTTTTTACGAAAACGGAATAGGAAGTATGGTAAGGGAAGCAGGACGGATGGTTAGGTCTGCCCAAGAGACTGCTGAGTACACTAAGATACTCATTAGGTATATTGTTCTAGTACCAAAGAAGTTATATCTGTTAACCATTTGGTCCCAGAAGTGCCACTGCTGTGCCACAGTTTACAGTTTCTTCCATACTGTTGTATATTATTTTACAAATTGTTCAGACTGGCTATCATCATTGTGGATACACAGTTGGTATATCTCACCGACACTTGCTTGCAAGTCACATCTCTTACTGATGCACTGATGTTCTTGCAAATGCAGAAGAAACTCATACTATGGCTACAGTGACAGTCTTTTTTTTTGACGAGTTCTCAAATTTTTTCAACGTTTTCTTTGTTTTGTTGTGCTTCTTTACCCTGAACATTTGTCATTTTCAGCTGACGCTTAACCAGCCTTGAAATTTGAATGCCATTCAAGAACTGCTGTCCGGCTTAAAGAATGTTTTCTAAAAACCCCATGAAGCATTTCAAGGGTTTTGGTAGCAGATTTGTCAATATTCACACATAACTTGATGCAAACAGATTGCTTGATTTTGCCATCCTTCGCGCAAAAAACAAAAACAGTGGAAAAGCACTCGTGCAAGAATAATACATGTTCACAGCATATGCATTCATGTTGTTTTTAGTATCTGATATTGCATGGAGGAACACTCGTTTCCCCCAGAGTAAGTGAATGCCAGTTGTGATATTTGTAAAATGACAGTAAATATTGTTTTAAATATCTCCAATTCCATTCTGAATAACCAGAGTGGATTTTGACATAATAATTCAGCTACTGATCAGATTTTATGCATTTGCCAGATATTGGAGAAAAATTGGAGTACAGTGGGACAGTACATCAGCTATTTGTATACTTCAGGGAAGCGTGTGGTTGTTAAGAGGGAAATATTTGTACAGTATAATCATTGAGTTAGGTATACACGTGAAACTCGTTACACTAGTTAAAATTTCTTAAAATGAAACATACAGTAAAGTCATGTATATAAAATTTTGTTAGATATGATTCATTGTCATTTCTTTTAAACTTTGCCTTAGAGTATGCCACTAGGAAGTATTCATCACAGTATCTAATAGATCCTTTGAAAATATGACAAAATTAAAATATTTGATGACTACACTAACAGATACAACTGAAGAGCACAGTTTTATGGGCTGAATGCTGTGTGGTTCAGTAGAAATCCACCATTTTGTTTAAAAAAAATTGCTTGCCACCTGCTTATTTCTGGTCTCTTGCCTCTCTTGCTGTTCAACCCTGAAGACAGAGATATAGCTGTTTGAAACTTCAGTGAACTTCTACCAAATTACATAATGTTTCAATCCAGAAAGATGCAATCTTCCTAGTCATCGCTGCAAGGATGTCAAATTGAACAAATCAAAATTATGTACACAGAGAAATTAATAGTAGATTAAATCTGAGCAGTGTTTGCTGGTCTATTCAGAATCTTTGTCTGCATGTCTGCTGTCTGAATATGTAAAGATTAAAATATGCAGAATGGTAATTTTGCCCATTGTTTTGTGTGAGTGTGAAAGTATGTCTTTCACTTTAAGAGAAAAACATATGCTGTCTTAACTGTCTTAACATTCAACACATCCTTTTAAAACTTACGTAAAAATTTCTTATGTCACACAGTGCATCTTTTAAACCTTAGTTAGTTAGTTATATAGAGAGGGTGGGTTTCCCCATGCACCGCGACCAGTTTGATCTATTGTGCTTCCCTCTATGATATTCTACCAGTCTCTTTACCCTACCGATAAATGGTGCGTACCATCAGTCCTGCCGAGCAAGCGAGTTCGGCCACTTGCTTAGCGGTGTCTATAATGTTTCCCCCATCTATCAGAGGCCTTAGAGGCTATTGTTGGGCGGGAAACGTCCTGGAATTTGGCTTAGTGATCCCCTTTGGGGATATGAGGTTCTTTTACGTGCGTAAAGTTACGACACGGGACACACAGCTTAAAGTCCCTCCTGGAGGACTTGTTCCCTGAATTTTTCCGCCCTTAAAAATTCGATGACCTCCGCCAGGTATTTGAACCCGTGTACCACGAGTCATGAGGTGGGAATGTTACCTCTAGACTACGGAGGCCGCTATCTTTTAAACCTTACTCAAAAGTTTTCTGTACATTGCACTACATATTGTGACCAACATTGTTCATCATCAGGTGTTTAAAATTGTTGGTGAAAATTTCTGTGCTTCCATTTTGTGGTTCTCATGTTCGATGTGCGTGGCCGGTGCGTAAGGCTGACAACCTTACCGCCATCTTTGAGCCGATTGTCTAGATGGTGTGGGACCCTCAACGTCTCACAACCCTATGGGTCTTCATGGCCTGGTACAGGGATAACTTTACTTCTTTACTTTTTTACATGTTCGATGTATAGTCCCATCTACATGCCTGTGTATTCCGAAGTGCTGGGTGGGTGGCTGTTCCTGTTGGTTTCTTGTGTCTACACTACGAGTTTAGTATTGAGGATGTTTGGAAACGGTATTATGAAGAAGTTTTGTACCTGAGAAGGAGGAAGGACCATGAGGCTGGAATAAATTACATGCAGAGGAGCTTTGTGATATGTAGTCATTGGTAAACATTATTAGAATGATCAGATGGGAAGAGTAAGATGGACAGGCTATGTAGCATGTGTCTGAAATAAGAAAAATGACTGCAAAGTTTTAGTAGGAAACCCTGAAGAATCATGGTCACTTTGAAGACCACAGAATAGATGGGAGGATAATATTAAAATTCATTTTAAAGACAAGATTGGAGGGTGTGGATTCATCTGGCTCTGGAGGGCGTTCTGTAGCAAACTCTTGTGAATGCAGTAATGACCCTTTGGATCCCATTTCTTGCCTAGCCAAGCCACCATTAGCTTCTGAAGGACTCTGCTCCATGCAGTTATCTGACAGTTTCTTGAATACTGTTGCTTTTATAAAGTGATTAGAGACAGATCATTGTGATGCCTTAATGACACAGACTGGAGTTTGCAGGGAAACTTGACACACAAATGTAAACTTTGTGTGTATTATAAGATTTTTGTTACAGGCCATGTTGAACAAGAATGGAAAACTGAAGCTGCTTTATGTAACACCTGAGAAGCTGGCGAAAAGTAAGAGTTTCATGACAAAAGTGCAGAAAATGTACGGACTTGGCCGTCTGTCTCTCATTGCTATTGATGAGGTCCACTGTTGTTCCCAGTGGGGTCATGATTTTCGCCCAGGTTTGTAGTTTGTTATGTTTATTTGTGCACAGCTAGAGTTTGCTCACACCTAGGAATTGGGTGAAATCTGTGTTCTCTTTTAAACTTACAACAGTTAAGATCAGTGATGTTAACACAATTTTCTAAGTTTTAAGAAGGCAGTAAATTGAAAGTCACCCTAGCTCCATGTAGCAGAGTCCTTCTTGAGAAGCTCATAGTTAATCACCTAGTCAAGATATTACCTTCCTTTTCTGGCATTTTGAGGTTCTGTTGCATACTGACAAAATGCTACTTTTGTCCTATCCAGACTTAAAGGAAGCCAGCCCAAACCTTCACCCTATTTCTTTTAAGCCCTGTCTTAACCCTTCCAGTGTTACATATACAGAGTGTAAGTGAAAGGTGTGGATGAACTTTGGGCATGAGTTTTACATACCAAAAGAAGAAAAAATTTCCATATCATCATGTGTCTGCAAGCATTTAATTTGTGAGTTATAGTTGAAAGAATGCTCTTTTGTTCAATGAAGTGCTGAGCATTTCTTTGTTTCATCAGTGCTCTATACAGATGAGGTACATTGCCATAGAGACGGCATCATCAGTATTCACAGCCAACACCAGTGGGCACAATAATCTAATTTATACTCCTGCAGCAATTTTAGTTATTCCGAAACACAAGTGCCTTCAGTTCACCAGTTCTGTCATTTATGAGTGACATTCTGTATATGTTTCTGCTGGATTAGTATACTATGCTTAATATTAATATTAGGTATACAGGTATTACAAATTTGAGGTCCTCTTATTTAGAATCTCTTTATTTCATTCAGTGTTCCAATGTTTATCATTATGAACACAGAAACTTCTACACTGAGTTGCAGTACAATGTGTTCAGAATTTAATATTTAATGCGTCTCTAAATCAGATGTTTCTGGATTCATGCAGTATAACCTTGATATATCAAGAATTTGTAAATTTCATACAAATGCTAATTCTGACAGGTGCTTATGATGAGTCTTCTGGGTCATAATGCTGTGTAGTCTGTTAAAAGTCAATTGATGTTTCACAGGAACTTATCACCTCCACCTTCAGGGTTGAAGAATAAGCCAAGCATCAAACCAGTATGAAAGCAGGTAGTTTGCTGCCTCTAAAATATTTGTTGACTTTCGACAGACTACATGGTTTTATATCCCAGAAGATAGAATTCTTCATAACTGCCACTGTGAGAACCTCAAATCGTGCAGGTGCTTATTATGTCTAAAAATGTTGATATACATAATCATGGAGTCAGTCTCCTAAGTCTGAATAATGTATAACACAATATGACACAGATCCGAAGAAAGTAATGTGCACGTGGCAATATGTTTTAAACCGGTTTGCACGGGGATATAAAAGTAATAAGGAATAATTTACACATTAATTGAGGGTTTACTTACTTACGTACTCATGGAGCTGAGCCCTTCTGGAGGAGCCGCCAATTGTGCAGCTACTCAAGAATTTCCCAGCATTTTATAGAACCCAAAGTTCATTACCATGTTCACAAGAGCCCTCCACTGGTCCCTGTCCTGAGCCAGATCAATCCAATCCATACCATCCCATCCTATCTCTCTAAGATCCATTTTAATATTGTGCACCCACCTACGCCTTGGTCTTCCCAGTGGTCTCTTTCCTTCTGGCTTTCCCACCAATATCCTATATGCATTCCTCGTCTCCCCCATTCATGCTACATGCCCTGTCCACCTCATCCTCCTTGACTTGATCATTCTAATTATACCTGGAGAAGAGTAGAAGTTATGAAGCTCCTCGTTGTGCACTTTTCTCCAACCTCCTGTCACTTCATCCCTCTTCGGTCCAGATATTCTCCTCAACACCCTGTTCTCAAACACCCTTAGCCTGTGTTCCTCCCTTAATGTCAGAGACCAAGTTTCACACCAAACAGAACCACAGGCAAAATTATAGTTTTCTGTATTCAAATTTTTATGTTTTTGGACAGCAGACGAGAAGACAAAAGGTTCTGGACTGAATGGTAGTAAGCATTACCTGAGTTCAGTCGCCTCTTAATTTCCTCCTGAGTCAGGTTTCGATCTGTTAGTGTTGTTCCCAAATATCTGAACTGTGCCACATTTTCAAAAAATCTGTTTGCTGTCTTTATGTCATGATTTTGCCCTACATTTTGGTGACGAGACAGCAACATATACTTAGCACGTGGTAGCATAGTGGTTAAGGAAGATCGCGGGTTCAAATACCGACGAGGTCATTGGATTTTTTTCAGTTCACCTAATCCTTCCAGCCACACTAGTCCCTGGGGTTTACTCAGCCTCTAACAGAAATGAGTACCAGGAATTAATTTAATAATTTTCCTGGGGAGTAACGTGCAGGCAGCACGTAAGGCTGACAACCATCTTTGAGCCAATTGTCTAGATAACATAATTATTTTTTATGGTGAGGAGTTGTTAGCCCAACCACTCCTTGTCAGCTGTCCATGACAGCTTATTCAATATATTCACAGCTTCCCTCCCAAACTGGATGGCGTCTCCTCTATCTGCAACTTGAGGACGCACCATGCCTTGGTGACAAGGTGCCCTCCTAACATCGCATTGATTGAGGGTTATGATACATAATTTGCTGTGTATCTGCTGGCTGATTAAAGCATTGAAATCCAAATTGAGTGCCAGTGTTATACCAACACCATCAAATTTCAGAATGATAGGTTGAAGGTGTTTAAGAACACTGCTGACAAGAATGTTTTGACCCAACAGGAAAGGAGCCAAGAAATTTGCACAAGGAGGAGCTTCATTATTTTTACTCTTCACCATACAATTATTAATAATATTATAAAGTTATCTATAAAAATATCATAATCCAATACAGTTCAGCTGGAATCTGAATGTTGTACTACAGTGCGTACAATCAAGTGCGCGCCACGGCTGCAATTTGCCGTGAGTCATACCACCGCAGAACGGATGCAACTCCTCCTCGCGACTGCAGTGCTCCTACGCCGATGGTTGCATAATCGGAACCCGAGGTTGCATTAAACAGTCAGTCTTTGTCTTGCTGTGGAAGTGGAGTGGAATGTTTACAGCTGTCAACAGACGGTGGAAATGAAGTTCACTATTAAACAGCGTGTGTTTATTGTCGAAACTATTGCAAGGAAAAACATTTACAGAAAATTCGCACGTAGGTTTCGTCAGAAATATCCTGACTCGCCAGTTCCCACAAAGTCGTGTGTAAACAGGCTTCTGAAAAAGTGGCGGGCCACAGGTTCAGTGAGTGACAAGAAGAAGCAATCGAAGAGAACTGTGCNCTGAACTGCAGAGAGTGTCGCGTAATTTATTTGTGAGATGCGCGGCATGTTTGCAAGCAGAAGGAGGTCACTTTCAGCACCTGTTATAAACCACGGTAAGTTATCTTTTTACTGTATTCTTATAAATGTGTGCATGTAGAGCAACTGATGGACGGAGACTCGGCGACACCACTACACTCACGCTATCGGGGAACGGCACTGCAGTCGCGGGGAGGAGTTGCATCCGTTCTGCGGTGGTATGACTCACGGCAAATTGCAGCCGCGGCGCGCACTTGATTGTACGCACTGTAGTATTAACTTTACTACATATTCATAATCTGTACACACAGAACAGACCAACTTAATGAGGAATTGATACCCACACACCACCACAACCAACAAAACACCCACACTCAACCAAATGCAGTGGAGCTGAATCAGCAGTCTACCAAGACTTTACAGACTTAAAGATTTTAAATATAAAAATAACAATGCGTTCACATGTGGTACACTAAGATGACAGTCCATCAGTTTTAGCAAAAATGCTAAAAAAACCTGATGATGGTCGTGTGAGGCAGAAATGTATTGTGGTAAGATATATGAAAGATGAAAATAAATGTTGCATTTGAGACGATTGTGAAATGTATAAATGCAGTCTGGATGCTGATGTGCTGCTTGAATTATCTTTACAGACTACAAGTTCCTTGGTATATTAAAAGGAATGTTCCCTGATGTTCCCATTCTTGGACTCACTGCTACATCTACTTCCCGAATCACAGTAGATGTTCAGAAAATGTTGTGCATCCAGGGCTGTCTGGTACTCAGAGCATCCTTTAATAGACCAAATCTCTACTACGAGGTATGGAACATTCATAAAAAATGAGCGAGTTAACAGGTTATGTGATTTAGGCTAATTTCTTGTTGTAGCTATAGTTGCATGCAACATGTCAGTGAAATCCCAGTTTAATGGATCTCTGGGGGAATTTGTTTTTTCACTGAATTGATATTTGTACTAAATGAGGGTTATGCAAAATGACAGCAAGAAACTGTTTATCTTTTTATGACACCTATATGTAATTACAATATAATAAGGGGGTTGGAACCTTAATAGTGGCAACTATTTATTTACAACTGATACAAAATAGATGCATGTTTTGAAGTTTTATTGTCCTTCAGTGTAGTCACCAGCATTGCGTACAACCTGTTGCCAGTGATGTGGAAGTCGTAGGATACCTTTAGCAGCGCCTGTTGTGTTGATGGTTTGAATGGAGTGGTGTACTGCCTGAAGAATCTCTGGAACAGTTCTGAATCGAATGCCACAAAGTGGTTCCTTCATCTTAGGAATCAAGTCAAAATCACAAGGGCTTAAGTCTGAGGAGTATGGTGTATGGTACAGCACTTCCCAGCCCCACGATCGAACAAATCAGCCACAGCTTGTGCTGCATGCGGCTGAGCACTGTCCTGCAAAATGATGAGTGGGGTCTGCAGAAAGTGTCGCCGCTTCTTTCTCAAAGCTGGTCGCAGGTTGTGTTCCAAAAATGAACAGTAATACTGCACATTGACGGTCTGTTGTCAGGGAATGGTATGCATTAGGATAACACCATCACAGTTGTACACGAGAATCACCATAACTTTCACATTGCTTGGGTTCTGGTGAACTTTTGATTTTCATGGTGACCTATAATGATGCCATTCGTTTGATTGGTGTTTCATTTGTGGCTCATACAATTTGCCCCATGGCTCATCCAGTGTAATGATATGGCATAAGAAAGCCTCTCCTTCGCGCTCAGTGCTCCAAGTGGTTACGAGCAGCATCATATCATAGCCATTTCTGCATTTCCATCAAATCATGCGGAGCCCATCATGATGCAAGGCGTTCCTTCAGAATGTGAAGCACAGTTGTATGTGATAATCCTCTCTCTTGGGCCAGCTCACAAATCGTCTGGCATCGATCACTCTCCAGTAACGCGGAAAGCGCATACACTTCTTCTTCACCGACACTAGGATGACCTGGCCAATGCATGTCTGCCACATTTTGGCGTCCCTTGTTGAAGGCTTTTACCCCCCTTGGAACCCTCTTGAAGACCTTGATGACACTGTCATGCTGTATGGCCTCTGGCACATTCAATCTTTATCCAACGCCGTTTTTCCTGTTTCGAAAACGTGACAACACTACATTAGACCGCCAGCTAGCATGAGCCTCTTTTCTTCTCGTCACTGCGCATTCACATTATGTGGGAAGGGAGATTCCATTTGCTCTGGGGTAAGGTAGGTATGTAACTAATGTGTGGTATAAGCGACATTATTTGGTTCCGTTGCATGGCGTCTCTAGAGCAGTGTTGCCACTATTAAAGTTCCAACCCTCGTAATTAACTTACATAAGTAATGTTATATTTTAGCGTCCTGTTACACTGATTCATGTCCATGGTTAATTCTATCTTACAGTGTATACACTTCCACACTACATGTTTCAGCACTAGTGTGCCATCTTCAGGTGTCTTTATGCACGTTAAACTGTTGTACTGCATGCCACAATGTCTCCATTCTAAAATGACTAAAATCTGTATTTGTCATATATGTCGATGAATTCTAAATAATAAAACTTTTCAAGATTCATCCTACGTCGCACTCAAACACGCGATTATGCCAGTCCTCTTTTATGTGAGCATTTTTCCTCCATATGTTTGTGTATCGTGTTCTGTGTTGTGTTTTGCTCCTGTTGTAATAAGTTGTACATAAGTAATTCTGAGAATAAGACAAATTATTAACAGAAATAAAGGTGTATGATGCAAAATTTCACAGTCACTTCCGTGAAGAACTAGAAGAAGTGGTATTTAATTATGAAACATGTTACAGAAACTGTTTAGAGTGTCTGTCTATGAGTTGAATGTATATTTCAACATGGTATGTTATTGAAGTGATTACACCTTCAGGAATGTGGAGGTTATTTTGAATTTCATCTGCAGTGTCCAAAAATATTTGAGAATGAGTTTTTATCTCATTCAGAATTACTGGGTTTTTGGACTTCGTCCATCATCCGGAATTCTAGAAACTAGAAAACACAATGTTTCAGAAACTGGATCTGTTTCTATCCTTAGGTGAGGGAGGGAAGACACTTGCTCTGTTGGGTCCCTTAGAAAGAGCTAACTTCCAAGTCATTCAGACCGGATCTGGGTGTACCCAACTTCCTATCCAATGGGTACTGGGAGGGCTCTTTCCCCAGAGGTAAAGTGGCTGGTGCATGAACCTGACCACTCACCTCCAGCTAGTGTCAAAGTCAAGAAAATGTGGATCTATACATCCATTCCCCCATATGTCTTCATGGTGTAATGCTTAAGGACAACTTTACTGTTACTTTTTTACTATAGGAATTTTTCTCATGCAAATGGTAGATTCATGTAACTGGCACACACTATTTGCCATACATGCTGTATAATGGAGAATTTACTGTACATATTTTATAATTTTCAGAAATACAGTTAATACGTTAAAAAGTACACTGTAAGCAAACACACATATGTTTGATAATATAATAATTAACTTGAAGGTGCGAACAAAGGCCTCATCTCAAGAAGAATGTCTCCAAGCAGTAGAGGATCTGTTAAAGACCCGATACTGCAGTCAGTCGGGAATCATATACACCACTTCTATCAAAGACTGTGAGCAGCTGATGCATGGACTTAGGAACAGAAAACTTCGAGTGGGTTGTTACCACGCTAACCTAGAAGCCCCTCTGCGAAGTAAAGTCCATGCCAAATGGCTCAGTGGTGAATATCAGGTGAGATTATATTAGTGCTGGTTCATCCTGTTTCTTTTGTGTGTTGTATCATCGATGGAGAAAATGGATTGAGTTCTAGTGCAGATGTTGTTCTCTATTTGTAACATTTTTTGTGTGCTTTAAAGGAATCCAATTTGATTTTTGATGCTGGTGAATTTACAGTTCTTGGTATTATAATCAACTTTCTTCCACAGGCTGTGGTTGCTACCATTGCATTTGGTTTGGGCATTGATAAACCTGATGTTCGATTTGTGATTCATTATTCATTGTCAAAATCAATGGAAAACTTCTATCAGGTAATTTGAAAGCATAAAGTTATAAACACCTTACTTTATTTAAAGTGTAAGTTCACTACATAATTGACTGCTTTCAAACACTGTCTCTAAAACAAAGTATTTCTTTCAGTGAATGAAACGTCCACAAAGGTTATTTGCAGCTGATTTATGTAGATTGATTTACATTTCTGTAATGCTTCAGGTTAAAGTGACACACACCTAATTACATAGGTTATCAAAATGCAGTCTTGGAATAATAGGGTGTCCAGTTCAGGACAAGGCAGACAGCATCAATAAGCTACAGATAAACACCACTACACCTAAATTCTCACATTGGTAGATTTGCTTACAGCGTGTAGAGTAGCCACCACTGCGTTGTGTGTCACTTCTTGTGATTGACACATAAAAATTCTTGGAATGTTGAGTTCAAATTTGGCACTGTGAAAAGTTTGTATGGTCTCTGGAATTGCAGCACTGATTAACATGGTATAAACCAGAATATGGCTGATGGAAACATGAAAGACATTGCATGAGTTCTGGTTTAACATGAAGTTTTGAAAACATGTGCCAAGGTAAATAGAAGTAAACGTGTTGGTACAAAATAGAACCAGAATTGTTTAATTTGAGGTTCTTATGATGGCAGCTATGAAGAGTATGGTCTCCTGTGTTGTAATGTCATGTAATTCAGCAGTGAGACATTTCTCAGGAACATACTGTCCCTGTCTTCAGGGTTAAAGAACATGCCAGGCAAGAAATAACAAGCAGCAGGCTTGCTGCCTGCTTCTGTTCATCTCAAAAGTCTCTCTGTCTCCAAACTACGTAGTGTTATAACCTCAAGAAGACTATCCCCTTTAGAGACAGAAATCATTCTTATTATATGCTTCCTGCAGGAAAGTGGGCGTGCAGGTCGAGACAATAAGCGTGCTGAATGTATCCTGATGTATCGGTTGTCTGATGTGTTCAGAATCAGTTCCATGGTGTTCACCCAGCAGACTGGCTTGCAGAATTTGTACAGAATTGTTGAATACTGTTTGGATGCATCTAGGTATGTTGACTTTTGATGAACAGTGTATGTGTAATATTTTAAAAAAATTGTGTTCGGTCCACTACAGTTTTGTTCTGTTAACATGTATATGTTCAAATTTGACATCATCTTTATTTTTAACAGCTGTGTAGCTGACACAGTTTAGAGTTTATGCTGTTGGTATTTTTATTTGCTTTATTCTGAGTGCATATTTCTTGTCTGGCAGAGTCGTACATTTTGGAAGTTTGTGCCTTATAGCTTGTGTTGAATATGGAAATACTAATTCCTGGGCTGTAGATCTACCCAGGCTGATCACAGTGGCCACACAGTCTAAGGCACAGAATGTCTTCACCTGCTCAAACACTGGGATCATGTGTTCGAATCCTACTCAAGGCATGGAAGTTTGTTTGCTTTTTTTCTTTGTTTGTGTTGTCCTGTGTAGGTATAGTAGCCTTTTGGCGGGCTGATCCCTCATCCAGCGAGTTCTACTGATTGAGTTTAAGAAACTGAAGTGAAATGAAGTATTTCATGGATGCTGTATGTGGGAGCAACAGGAACGAAGATAGATAGATCTACCCGGACAAGATTATAAAAATTAAGACTGCATGGTACTGAGAAGAATTTGAATTGGGTGCAGAGGAAGCATGGTTTCTGTTATTTTGCACATGATTTATAGCAATCATTTTGAATGTTACTGCATAACTAAGGCACTTTTAAAATGTCAGTGATTCATTCTAAGGCAGATAATGTTAAGATTATCTGTAAAGCCAACGTACTTCACTAATATGAATTGGATAATAATAGTAATGGAGAATGTGCTGAAAAAGTAAAATACACCAAAATCATATGAGAAAACTTTGTGACCAAATTGTATTAACGTTTAAGGCAAAAAGACATTTTAAGGCATATTATCATACTTGAAGTTTCACTGTAGTGCAAGTGTGTTGCTGTCAGACAAACAGAGTAGATTTTCTTACAGTATAATATTAAAATGGGCCTTGAAAGAGGGCCAGTATCAGACTACTGTGAATGGGGTAATGAACCTGGTTCCATAAAAGTGTTCAATTTCTTGACTAACCATGCAACTGTTAGCTTCTCAAGGAAGACTGTGTCATGTAATTAATTTGAAATATTACCATATAGGTAATTCCCACTACTTTGTGTATTACCCAGTTAATAAAACTGTTTTCATTTTGAAAACTTTCTGCTTAATGAATAATAGCCTAGGGTTTCGGAGGAAATAGTAACCCTTTACCTAGTAATATGTGCTGTATTTGTGCTGCTTATCTGATAACCCTGTTCCTAGTTACTGATGCTCAGAGGATGCATGTGAACCCACTGTGTTAAACATAACATAGCATTTATATGCACCATGCTTTCCTTGTAGTCATAGCTGTATTGTGACTTCCCATATGCTTATATGCCCATTGATTTCATTGTAGATGCAGACGTGCTATCATAGCATCACATTTTGATGAAGCATGGGACAGCCAAGACTGTAATGCAATGTGTGATCACTGTTGCAAACCAAAGGAAAGAAAAGAGATGGTTGTTACTTCATTTTGTCAAGCACTTTATAAGTTAATCTCAAATGCTGCTGCAGTAGATACAAAATTGACAGGTAAGCTGGATGATATATTTTGTTTATTTGTTTGCTACAGGGTTGTTCTTAATAATTTTAAAATATATAATTCCTAGGCATTTGCAAGTCTCAGACTCTTGAGATTTAGTTGAGAAAAATCTTCGTCTGAATCCAGACATTTACTTTTCTCCGTAATTTTCTTATAAATGCCTTCTCTTTGTGCATTGGCATCAGGTGTCAACAGGCATAAGTATTATCATACTTGCCTGAATGGAATATTAGGTTTTCTTCCCATTCTAAGAGTTACAAAGCTACAGGATGTCATGAAATCAAATGGTGTGTGTGTTAATACAAATTTGAAACTTTTCAGAAACAGTACAACTTGACATAAAGGCAGGTCACCATGACATGAGGTGACCTGCAAGACATGTCAGAAGTTTGAGATACAGTGAAACCTTGCTTAAC